TTAGGACTGACGACCTTATGATGATGATGATGAGTGTAATTTACAAAGAGCTAAAGGACTTCGTATAGTTTTCACGGTTTCCCAAACCAATCATAAGAAATAAAGCGGCCAAAATATCTTATATTATTTTAGTGGGACTTACAAATCCTGGGAATCAACAAAATGAGCCTAAATATGCCGATATTTCGATTTTCAAGGAGTCAGAAAATCGGAAGATCTACGAGAAACTGTATTTAATTCTTCAATTCTTCCTACAATTTATAGCTGGAAGCATTTAAGTATTCAAAAATAGTAAAAAATAGTATTGCAACGAGAAAAGCGGAACCAAGAGCGTCTCGAAGAGCAGTTCTTTTGGTGAAACTTTCATCATCCTGGCATTCTTTCCTCATATAACTAACGTAAAAATCCATAACGAGTTTTCAATTTTAACTGAGTGTAAAATGTTATAGCGTTGTTGATTGGAAATTTACGTATCATACAACGGGCTCAGGAATTTTTTCAAAAAAAAATTATTTCAGCTCCCTGGGATCTTAGGACGTTCGGTTTTTTTAATAAGTGTTTTGAAATATTATAGTGAAAATGTTGGAAATTTCCAAACACCAATGCTATAACATTTTATACGTCCTTTAAAATTAAATGGTCGCGTAGAAAACGTTTTAATAAACCTTAATATTGGATCCGCCAAAAAATACAGATTATGAACGTTTTTTTATGCCTGGCTATTGGACTAATATATCTTTACAAAGAAGGCATATTTTACTTTTACGGCGCGTATAAAAATAATATAGCAATAAGAAATGGAGGGGAAGGAGACAGGTAGGTAGGTCGTACAGTTGCAAGTGTTGCGGCGTCGAATCTGACGTCCGTGGGAACTTGCGACAGGTGTTTCTTAATCGCTCGCCATCTCCGACTTCGATTGAGCTACCGGGTTTACACCAGAACGGGTCTCGTTTCTGACCATTTTTATTTACGTCTTCGTCTCTTTTTTTTTGTTTCGTTTTTTAATTTATCTTGCCCCAAGGTGTACTGCCGTTCACTTGCCGCCATCGAACCCCTTCAGTTCCGGTCATTTTAAGTTTTACTATCTATTTTATCATTAAGATGTTATAGAGATAGAGACGGTGACTAAATGCATTTAAATCACGTTAGGTTAAAAAAAGATTTGCAATTTTCTACTTATGATTTAACGAATAAAAGTTTGATAAAAAACGATACACGCTATTAGTATATATTTACCATAATCGTATATTTCCGATTTTTAATCACTAATGCACTGCAAATCAAATTTAAATTATTTGGGATTTAATAATTTTTCAAAACAAAATAAATATGAGTTCATCGTCATAAGATAGTCAGTCCTAAGACTGGTTGGACACGCACCTCCACTCTTTCCTATCCTGAGCAAATCTTTGCATTTCCCTGAAACTCGAACATCCCACATCCTTAATATAATATAATGGATCCATGATCTATCGGTATTACTGATAACTCCTGTTTCTGCCTCTAATATGTCTCTGCCTAGACCTCCATGCACAAAAAGGTATCCTATAAACCTATCTCGCCTATTTTTTATTGACATCCATAGTGCCCTCTGTTCTCTTATTCTTTCTAATACGTCTTCATTTCTATCCACGTCTCGCTTCCAATCCGTGGCGCTTACAGTCCATGTTTCCCACCCGTACAGCGCTGCGCTCCAAACATACATTTTTAGCTTTTTTTTTTCGAATTTCTAAATTAACCGTTCACGACCATAGAAGTGATTTCTTTGAACTGAAGCCTGCTCGACCCTGCGCTATCCTCTGCTTTATATTCCTACTACTTCTTCCCTCCTACATTATCTGAATTTCTAGATACCTAAAATTAGCCATTTCTTGTAATTTTTCGTCTTTTATCTTTACATTCTGTTTTCCCCTACTTTCTCTTCCCTTACATTCCAGTATTTTTGTTTTACCTTTATTTACTTTCATACAATTTTTTTTCACTACCGCTTCCATTTTGTTTAAAGCTATCTCTAACTCCTCTTTGCTAGATGCTAATACTCCTATATTTTCTGCAAATCTAAGCATACTAATCTTTTGCCCGTGTATATCTATCCCTACAGTTGTGCTGTCTTTAATGATGTTGATAGCGTCTTCGATGTAGTGGTGCAGTCTGACTCCCTTCCTAATGTTTGCGTCTCTACGTTGCAGCCCCAGGCTCTATAACTGGCTGCTGCTCTTTCTACAAACTATGTACCACTCTTCTATCTTTGTAACTCATCCTTACATTTTTAAATATATTTAATCTTGTCTCATTTAACATTGTCAAAACCTTCTTCTCGTCTGACTCCCTTCCTAATATTTACTTCTCTACGTTACACTCTCACCTCTATAACTGCCTGTTGTTTTTTATGCAAACTAAGTATCACTCGCAGTAGAATAAAGATTCGCGCTAGTTCACTTAGACCACGGCTCTATAGCCCGAATCTATTCTACTATTGATTCCGGCCAAGAAAGCCTTTGTAGTACCACTCTTCTACCTTTGTAACTCATTACTACATTTTTAAGTATATTTAACATCTTGTCCCATTTAACATTGTTAAAACTTTTTCCTAATTCTGGAAATCCTATGCACGCACTCTTTCCTTTTTCTATCATTCTATCTCTATTTCTTCTGAATTCAAATTGATCTTCCCGTAATAGTTCTTCCGCCCTTTCTTCCATCCTCCTCTATGCAATCCTAGTTGAGAATTTTGACGCAGTTAAGCTAATTGTTCTAGATGTCTTGCACCTATCCGCGTCTTTATTTTTAGGTATGGTTACTACCACGTTCCGTTCATAATTCTCTGGAACTTTCCCCGTCTCGTAAATGTGACTAACCAGCTTAAACATACGATCTGTAACCTCTCTTTTCCTGCATGTTTTACAATTTCCGCCTGTATCCCATCTATACCTGGCGCTTTATTATCCCTTAAGTTTTTTAATGCTACATCGAACTCTTCTCTCATTATGGGATAACCTAGCTCATCTATCTCCAGACTATCTTCCTTCTGTAATATATCTCTTAACTCATGGTCTGCGTATAGGTTCTCTATTCATTCCACCTATCTGCTTTTTCCTCATTTTTTATCAAAATGACCCCTGCCTCGTTTCTTATATTATTACTACTTTACCCTACATCTCTAAAGGCAAAAGTAAAAGCGTTTGCCACAATTTGTATTCATAATCTATACCTTTTCCTTGCAAGGAAATGCTTCGGATTAATAAAGTCAATGGTACAGATTAGCCCCTACCGATTTCGATAAACTAATTGAACTTGCATTGTGGAATCAACGAGTGTGTTCCGTGACAGCTGTTTATTTAATTTGCTTAATACATTCCTGATTTANAATAGTTCTTCCGCCCTTTCTTCCATCCTCCTCTATGCAATCCTAGTTGAGAATTTTGACGCAGTTAAGCTAATTGTTCTAGATGTCTTGCACCTATCCGCGTCTTTATTTTTAGGTATGGTTACTACCACGTTCCGTTCATAATTCTCTGGAACTTTCCCCGTCTCGTAAATGTGACTAACCAGCTTAAACATACGATCTGTAACCTCTCTTTTCCTGCATGTTTTACAATTTCCGCCTGTATCCCATCTATACCTGGCGCTTTATTATCCCTTAAGTTTTTTAATGCTACATCGAACTCTTCTCTCATTATGGGATAACCTAGCTCATCTATCTCCAGACTATCTTCCTTCTGTAATATATCTCTTAACTCATGGTCTGCGTATAGGTTCTCTATTCATTCCACCTATCTGCTTTTTCCTCATTTTTTATCAAAATGACCCCTGCCTCGTTTCTTATATTATTACTACTTTACCCTACATCTCTAAAGGCAAAAGTAAAAGCGTTTGCCACAATTTGTATTCATAATCTATACCTTTTCCTTGCAAGGAAATGCTTCGGATTAATAAAGTCAATGGTACAGATTAGCCCCTACCGATTTCGATAAACTAATTGAACTTGCATTGTGGAATCAACGAGTGTGTTCCGTGACAGCTGTTTATTTAATTTGCTTAATACATTCCTGATTTACTTGTGCAGTGTTGAAAGTTAGCAAATTTAAAATGGTTCGCACAATAACGCAGAAATATTTTCATTTTCTGCACAGGTGACACGGCTGCTCCACGTGTTTCGGGATATGCGCCAAAGTTGACGGACCAACTACACGACATTTTCCTCCTCAAATCTAAATAAAATTTTAAAATCTGATTCTTGTGGTGTACGTCTTTATTTGTACTACTTTCTTGCACGTAAATGCACCATATCAGCCATAACAAGCACAACACTGGGACACACAACTAAAGATTACTTATACAAGCCCTTTCAGATAGATTTTAACACACAAAAACAGTCCTACAAATAAATAAATTTTTACCTTACAAGCTGTATGATGTCTGAGCGGCTACTGAAAAGTTGAAAAGAGCGAGTAAAGTTGTCACCCTAGATTCCTTGCTGTTGCTTCTTTTTGTAAATACAAATTATGTAAAACCTTTTACTTTAAAGCAAACCCTCCAAGCAAAATCTTTTCCTTTGCTTCTTTTATTTTATTTTGGAAGCAAAATGTAAGGCTTCTTTTTATAAATNCGGCTACTGAAAAGTTGAAAAGAACGAAAAAAGTTGTGAACTTAGATTTCTTTTTTTTGAAGCAAATCCTTTAGTTTTTGAGCAAATGTTTCTTTTTATAAATACAAATTATGTAAAAGCTCAAAGCAAAACCTTTTCCTTTCTTTACTTTCAAGGAAATGGTAGAAGCAAAAGGTACAAGTAAAAGGTAGACGTAAAAGTTTTTGCTATAATTCGTATTCATAATCCTTGCAAGGAAATGCTTCGCATAACTAAAGTGAAAGGTACAGCTTAGCCGTTACCGATTTCGACAAACTAGTTGAAACTTGTATTGTGCAAACAACGAGTGTGTGTTCAGTGTCTAATAAATTCTTGATTTACTTGTGAAGTGTTGAAAATTAACAAATTTAAAATGTCTGACGAAGACAGCGAAATGGAAAGTAGCGAAGATGTGACTACTGAGATGATGTTTATCGCTGAAAGAGTCAAAGCATTTCCGGAGATACTCGAGAAATCTCAAGTTCCAGCAATAAAAAGGAAGAAAACTGCTGCATTAACGCAAATTGTTAAGGAATATGTGACTCTGTTTGGTAAGGGAATGGAAATTAAAGCTTTCATGAAAAAAGTAAACAATATGAAAACAAGATTAAAAAACAAAACAGATAGAAATAAAACTGGGAACAAGCCCATTCGACTTCTTTCCTGGGAGAGAATAATGTTAAAGGCCATGCATGCAGACATAAACCCTGTTTTAAGTCAGGTCCCAGGTAAGAAATACATTTTTGTCCACCATTAAAACGTACATACAATATGTATATTTTTATTAGGAGCTTTTGCAATCGGTGTACCAACTCAGCCTCCCTTACCCACTTTAAGGAATGACATTATGACGGAAAAGATTGTCCCAAACAAATTGTCTCCGAAGCCTAGAGATGTTTGTGGAAAACCAGAAGAATCTGATGAGACGAAACAGTTAACGACTGCCCAGCTTCAACGATTAGTTTTTGTTGAGCAACTGAAAGTTGCTCGTCTCCAACAACAATATTTTTCGGCCAAGCTACAGCAATTGGACGAGACATACAACAAATAACCTTCGAAAGATTATGTTGTCGTGGGGATTACAGTTTCTATAACCCGTAATATCTATATATGTGTAAAATTTATTTCAGAGAATACAAAATAAACTGTTTTTTTCGAATTCAAACGTGTGAGCTTATTTATATTTTAAGAAACTGCATCTTGGTGGGTTATTACGTTATTACTAAACAAGGTAGCTTCAAATAATATTTTTGAATGTATTACAGAACTATATTGTTATTGGTAATAAGATGAGTCAATTCTTGTCGCCGTCCTTGCTCTTGTGCGCGAATAGTATCTACATTCTAGTCCTCTGTATGTCGCAGATGATATAGCAGTATTAGCATATAGCAGGGTGGAGTTAGAGATAGCTTTAAATAAAATAGAAGCGGTATTAACAGTACTGTATGAAAATAAATGAAAGTAAAACAAGAACACTGGAATGCAAGGGAAGAACAAGTAGGAAAAGAGTGAATATAAAAATAGGAGACGAAATATTAAAAGAAGTGGTCGGTAGGTATCTAGGAAGTCTGGTAAGTCAGGACGGAAGGAGTCGTAGGGATATAGCGCAGGGTCCGGTCGTCTTCAATAAAAAGAAGTCACTTCTATGCTCGCGTACGGTTCATTTAAAATTTCGAAAAAGATTGTTAAAGGTGTATGTTTGGAGTATGACGCTGTACGGGGGCGAAATATGAACGGTGGGCGCTGAGGAAAAGAAAAGGTTAGAAGCGTTCCAAATGTGGTGTTACAAGCGAATGATGAGGAAACCGTGGAAAAGGAAGGGTAGAAATGAAGAGGTGTTACAAAGAATAGGATAACAGAGGACTCTATGGATGTCAATATAAAATAGGAGAGGTAGGTTGGTAGGACACCTTCTTAGGCATGACGGTCTAGTCAGAAACATTTTAGAGGCAGAAACAGGAGTTAGGAGTTCCAGTTTCAGGGAAATGGGAAGATTAGCTCACGATAGGAAAGAGTGGAGGTACGTACGTGTCCAACCAGTTTTAGGATTGACATATGATGATGATGATGATGTCGCTGTTCTTCCTCTTCTTCATCTTCTCGAAAATTTGTATCTTGTAGCTGTTTAGCTATGTTGTGTAACACAGCACACACAATCATAATTTTTGGAATATTGGTTAATTTCACTCTGCATCTATATTTCATATTAGAAAATTGCCGCTTCAGTTGCCCTAAGATATGCTCAATCACAACTCGCTCTGTTGTACGCAGCACTTATAAGTTCCTGTAAATGCGTTTCGTTTTGAAGCATAGATAAGTAGGCTTGCTATATATATGTGTTCAAACCATAACCGACTAAATTGTGTAGAAAATTCAAAAAAGTAAAAAAATAAACACTGCTGACGTAATCACTAACCAGCCCCCAAATTCCATGTCATTAGAAATAAGCAAAGCAAAAACCCTCGCCCCTGTAGTTCTTACGTAATATTTGAATGCCCCCTTAAAACATAACCCCAGAGTGGTGCTCGCGAACGAAATTTTCCCGTGAAATTCAGTATGTAAGTAATTCAAAACATTACGCCATTTTTTCTTTCGAATATGATAAGAATTAAAGAGAAAAAGCGCGAAAATAGGTGAAAACATGATTTTTGGACAACTGCGAAGGTTATGAATAAATAACACAACTAATTTTATTATGTATTACACATGCATACAGGGTGAAGACTGTAGCGTTTTTAAGTTGATAAGCAACAGAGTGAAATTAATGTATTTCATTAAATCAATATTAAAAAGAAAATTGTAAATTATTGAAAAATTCGAGAAGAATACAACAATTTATACGATAACTACGAAATTCGTAACGATATTTCATTTTTTTGCACTTTTGGACGTTTTAGGCGGCCATTTTGTATCAGCCATTTTGAATTGTAATTCTAATATCAAATTCGTAATCAGCATAATCAAATCAATTTTCACGATTTTTCCTTAATTAATTTTCATGATATATCATTTAATAACTAATTTTGCAGTTTTTTTGTTATTAATAAACAAATACAGAGAGATTTACGTCTACTCCACTACATTTCATATTTAAATAATAATAACAAAAGAATTTTTTGTCGTCATATTTTTCACAGATGGTAAAGCTAACTTTTTCGATCAATGTAATAAAATCTATTTTCCCTTTTCGAACACTTCCTATTAATCACAATGATCCCGTTCCGCCACCCGGCATGCCGCCGCATCGTTTTCTCCATTTAAGGAAAGTGAACACGGATGGGGTATTGTGTTCTCTCCACAATAAGAACATGTACCTAAGTATACATGTATGCACACATATTAGAAAGGGGTTGTTTCGCGGGTGTCGAATCCGAATTGCCCTCGTGCCCTACCGCTCGCTTTGCACGTGTGCTAAGAGCAGGACGACAAGCATATGAAGAAGAAGAAAACAAAAAGGGAGAGAAATGCTATAAGGATAAGGCGACTTGGATGATGACGATGACGAGCAAGCCGTAATCGCCAGGTGCAGTTCGGGTGTGGGAACGAAGACCGAGCTGAGGTTCCCAGGCTCCAGCACCTGCTCCTTCTTCTGCCGCTTGCGCACCCCATCACTAACTCTACACATGTATACACATACGAGTAATATGTCCGTGTACATTATACACACACGCGTTTTAAGCGTGCTCGCTTGCGTTAACGGAATCACGAAATCCTGAAAGTGACCGACCGCTTTTACTTAAGGACGAATAAATGGTACCGGCTTCTTTTAATAATCCATGGAAATAGAGATCGGAAATCCTGAAACGTGTGATGGTACAACAGTCAATTAAGTTAAAAAAGAAAGTCAACCTCGGATTAAGATAAATAAGCTGTAAATTTGTACAAACCTTTAATTTGACATTCTATAAAAGTTGTGTCATAACATCTCCTGTTCGCGTCTTAAGATATTCAAGGTCAAAGGTAACTAAAATGGATTTATCGCAAATATCTTGCTTCATATGGTTTGCATCTATTATGAAAATTGTAGAGCACAAAATTCTCTATAGATTTTGTTCCGGGTATATTTTTATACGCTTAACCGTTTTTGAGGTAGAGCGTGGAGAACGCGCAGCGCTTAGCACAAATTCAACCGCGAGTCACGCTAATCAACCTATCAATCGTGTATACTATCAAATTCAAAGTTAGTTATGATTTAGAACTCCAGAAATTGGTTTGGGTACTGTAAAATGAACTCTCGGAACCGATAACGACAAAATCACCACCAGTTTCAGATGAACCATTGAACACAATAATATTTTGCAAGTGCAAAAATGGTTGTGGTTCACGTTGTGGATATAGGAAATCAGGGTTGCGGCCGGTGTAATAGGCAAGCGTGCTTCAATGCTTCATGGTATCAAAGCGATCTTGATGACCCTGAAATCCTTGACGGTTTAGAAACAAATATGATGATAATGAATTAGAAATTTTCGAGCGATCGAAAGACGATGATGAAGAAAAAGATTGAGCTACATGTCCTAATTATTAAAGTTTGCATAAATCCTCCCCTCATTTGAGCTTCAACTTTATTCAATGTATGATACGTAATTGCTAAGTAATTAAAATATATTTACTCTATTCCATTTCTACTCAAAATTTAATTTTTTAGTATTTAATTAAATTTATAAGACGTATTATAATCGAACTTCGCATTATACCATGTATGGCTAAGTGCTGCGAGTTCTCCGATTGGAAATAATTAAATACTCCCTTGGTAACTTTCTCCTTTTATTTCAGGAAGTACAATTATGCCCGCAAAAAGGTCAACCATTTTTTGAATTTGAATTTATGTTATCTCGAAATCCTGACGTGCTGTGATATTCTAAAGCTACATTCAGATTTAAGACTCGTAAACCGAGTCGGAAATGACATCGATTTCTGATTTCTTACTTTCTTGGTCCACGTTGACCGATGATTATTATTAATTGGTCACTAATGCAAAGTTGGCACATCTAAATTATTTATTAAAAATTGCAAGCTAACTCCTACTACCAACTTGGTTGGTAAGTCTAAATAAAAGACTTTTGGGTGCTTCATTTCCCCCAGCTGGTGGACGGGCAGTACCTCTGGACTACGCCGGAGGGTAGGGCTCTTGAGCTTCCTTTCAGGATGGTGACGGGAATGGATGGGTGGTGGTTGGAATGACAAAGATGAGGCGAATGAAATGAAGACGGAAGAGAGTCAAGGTTTCTTTTGGAATATTACTGCCCCAGTATTTGCCTAAGAGATACAAGAAAACCACCGAAAAACTTGAACGAGAACAAATGGATCCGGAATCCAATCTAAATCTCTCCGTTATGCCGTTCGATGTTAGTAGATCAATTAGAGACCGTTTAAATTGCAGTAACAACAGTAATCGGGGGAGGTAAAATCGAAGAATCACGAGGAGCGATTAAGGCACCATGGTGAGGCGGTTTTCCGTCTTTACTCACTCTGTGACCGTTTTCTGTTTCCGCAATTTACTAGAAAAATATGTTACTATATCTGCATACATTTATTGCTATTTTAAATTACATAAAAAATTGAAAATGGCATCATCATTACAAGGTCGTCAGTCCTAAGATTGGTTCGACACGCACCTCCACTGTTTCTTATCCTGAGCTAATTTTCGCATTTCTCCAAAAGTAGAACAAGCCATTTCCTTAACTACGAGGGTGGATTGATAAGTTTCCGGCCTGACCAAGAAAAACAAGGTTTTTAAAAATTTTTTTTTTTTATTTCTCAACATAATCTCCTCCAAGGCTGATACATTTCTCATAGCGGTGTTCCAGTCTATTAATGCCATCTCTATAGACTGATTCGTCAAGCTCCTCAAAATAACCATTTACAGCTTCGATTACTTCTTC